TCACGCCACTCTCTGTCACTCACGCCACTCTCTGTCACTCACGCCACTCTCTGTCACTCACGCCACTCTCTGTCCCTCACGCCACACTCTGTCACTCACGCCACTCTCTGTCTATCACGCCACTCTCTGTCACTTACGCCACTCTCTGTCACTCACGCCACTCTCTGTCACTTACGCCACTCTCTGTCACTCACGCCACTCTCTGTCACTCACGCCACTCTCTGTCACTCACGCCACTCTCTGTCACTCACGCCACTCTCTGTCACTCACGCCACTCTCTGTCACTCACGCCACTCTCTGTCACTCACGCCACACTCTGTCACTCACGCCACTCTCTGTCACTCACGCCACTCTCTGTCACTCAAGCCACTCTCTGTCACTCACGCCACTCTCTGTCACTTACGCCACTCTCTGTCACTCATGCCACTCTCTGTCACTCACGCCACTCTCTGTCACTCACACCACTCTCTGTCACTCACGCCACTCTCTGTCACTCACGCCACTCTCTGTCACTCACGCCACTCTCTGTCACTCACGCCACTCTCTGTCACTCAAGCCACTCTCTGTCACTCACGCCACTCTCTGTCACTCAAGCCACTCTCTGTCACTCACGCCACTCTCTGTCACTCACGCCACTCTCTGTCACTCACGCCACTCTCTGTCTCTCACGCCACTCTCTGTCACTCACGCCACTCTCTGTCACTCACGCCACTCTCTGTCACTCACGCCACTCTCTGTCACTCACGCCACACTCTGTCACTCACGCCACTCTCTGTCACTCACGCCACTCTCTGTCACTCACGCCACACTCTGTCACTCACGCCACACTCTGTCACTCACGCCACTCTCTGTCACTCACGCCACTCTCTGTCACTCACGCCACTCTCTGTCACTTACGCCACTCTCTGTCACTCACGCCACTCTCTGTCACTCACGCACTCTCTGTCTCTCACACCACTCTCTGTCACTCACGCCACTCTCTGTCACTCACGCCACTCTCTGTCACTCACGCCACACTCTGTCACTCATGCCACTCTCCGTCACTCACGCCACACTCTGTAACTCACGCCACACTCTGTCACTCACGCCACTCTCTGTCACTCACGCCACTCTCTGTCTCTCACGCCACTCTCTGTCACTTACGCCACTCTCTGTCACTCACGCCACTCTCTGTCACTCACGCCACTCTCTGTCTCTCACACCACTCTCTGTCACTCACGCCACTCTCTGTCACTCACGCCACTCTCTGTCACTAACGCCACACTCTGTCACTCATGCCACTCTCTGTCACTCACGCCACACTCTGTCACTCACGCCACTCTCTGTCACTCACGCCACTCTCTGTCACTCACGCCACTCTCTGTCACTCACGCCACTCTCTGTCACTCACGCCACTCTCTGTCACTCACGCCACTCTCTGTCACTCATGCCACTCTCTGTCACTCACGCCACTCTCTGTCACTCACGCCACTCTCTGTCACTCACGCCACACTCTGTCACTCATGCCACTCTCCGTCACTCACGCCACACTCTGTAACTCACGCCACTCTCCGTCACTCACGCCACACTCTGTAACTCACGCCACACTCTGTCACTCACGCCACTCTCTGTCACTCACGCCACTCTCTGTCTCTCACGCCACTCTCTGTCACTTACGCCACTCTCTGTCACTCACGCCACTCTCTGTCACTCACGCCACTCTCTGTCTCTCACACCACTCTCTGTCACTCACGCCACTCTCTGTCACTCACGCCACTCTCTGTCACTCACGCCACACTCTGTCACTCATGCCACTCTCTGTCACTCACGCCACTCTCTGTCACTCACGCCACTCTCTGTCACTCACGCCACTCTCTGTCACTCACGCCACTCTCTGTCACTCACGCCACTCTCTGTCACTCACGCCACTCTCTGTCACTCACGCCACTCTCTGTCACTCATGCCACTCTCTGTCACTCACGCCACTCTCTGTCACTCACGCCACTCTCTGTCACTCACGCCACTCTCTGTCACTCAAGCCACTCTCTGTCACTCACGCCACTCTCTGTCACTCAAGCCACTCTCTGTCACTCACGCCACTCTCTGTCACTCACACCACTCTCTGTCACTCACGCCACTCTCTGTCACTCACGCCACTCTCTGTCACTCACGCCACTCTCTGTCACTCACGCCACTCTCTGTCACTCACGCCACTCTCTGTCACTCACGCCACTCTCTGTCACTCACGCCACTCTCTGTCACTCACGCCACTCTCTGTCTCTCACACCACTCTCTGTCACTCACGCCACTCTCTGTCACTCACGCCACTCTCTGTCTCTCACGCCACTCTCTGTCACTCACGCCACTCTCTGTCACTCACGCCACTCTCTGTCACTCACGCCACTCTCTGTCACTCACGCCACTCTCTGTCCCTCACGCCACACTCTGTCACTCACGCCACTCTCTGTCTCTCACGCCACTCTCTGTCACTTACGCCACTCTCTGTCACTCACGCCACTCTCTGTCACTCACGCCACTCTCTGTCTCTCACACCACTCTCTGTCACTCACGCCACTCTCTGTCACTCACGCCACTCTCTGTCACTCACGCCACACTCTGTCACTCACGCCACTCTCTGTCACTCACGCCACACTCTGTCACTCACGCCACTCTCTGTCACTCACGCCACTCTCTGTCTCTCACACCACTCTCTGTCACTCACGCCACTCTCTGTCACTCACGCCACTCGCTGTCAGTCACGCCACACTCTGTCACTCACGCCACACTCTGTCACTCACGCCACTCTCTGTCACTCACGCCACTCTCTGTCTCTCACGCCACTCTCTGTCACTTACGCCACTCTCTGTCACTCACGCCACTCTCTGTCACTCACGCACTCTCTGTCTCTCACACCACTCTCTGTCACTCACGCCACTCTCTGTCACTCACGCCACTCTCTGTCACTCACGCCACACTCTGTCACTCATGCCACTCTCCGTCACTCACGCCACACTCTGTCACTCACGCCACACTCTGTCACTCACGCCACTCTCTGTCACTCACGCCACTCTCTGTCTCTCACGCCACTCTCTGTCACTCACGCCACTCTCTGTCTCTCACACCACTCTCTGTCACTCACGCCACTCTCTGTCACTCACGCCACTCTCTGTCTCTCACGCCACTCTCTGTCACTCACGCCACTCTCTGTCACTCACGCCACTCTCTGTCACTCACGCCACTCTCTGTCACTCACGCCACTCTCTGTCCCTCACGCCACACTCTGTCACTCACGCCACTCTCTGTCTATCACGCCACTCTCTGTCACTTACGCCACTCTCTGTCACTCACGCCACTCTCTGTCACTTACGCCACTCTCTGTCACTCACGCCACTCTCTGTCACTCACGCCACTCTCTGTCTCTCACACCACTCTCTGTCACTCACGCCACTCTCTGTCACTCACGCCACTCTCTGTCACTCACGCCACACTCTGTCACTCATGCCACTCTCTGTCACTCACGCCACACTCTGTCACTCACGCCACTCTCTGTCACTCACGCCACTCTCTGTCACTCACGCCACTCTCTGTCACTCATGCCACTCTCTGTCACTCACGCCACTCTCTGTCACTCACGCCACTCTCTGTCACTCACGCCACTCTCTGTCACTCAAGCCACTCTCTGTCACTCACGCCACTCTCTGTCACTTACGCCACTCTCTGTCACTCATGCCACTCTCTGTCACTCACGCCACTCTCTGTCTCTCACACCACTCTCTGTCACTCACGCCACTCTCTGTCACTCACGCCACTCTCTGTCACTCACGCCACACTCTGTCACTCACGCCACTCTCTGTCACTCACGCCACTCTCTGTCACTCACGCCACTCTCTGTCACTCACGCCACTCTCTGTCACTCACGCCACTCTCTGTCACTCACGCCACTCTCTGTCACTCACGCCACTCTCTGTCACTCACGCCACTCGCTGTCACTCACGCCACACTCTGTCACTCACGCCACACTCTGTCACTCACGCCACTCTCTGTCACTCACGCCACTCTCTGTCTCTCACGCCACTCTCTGTCACTTACGCCACTCTCTGTCACTCACGCCACTCTCTGTCACTCACGCACTCTCTGTCTCTCACACCACTCTTTGTCACTCACGCCACTCTCTGTCACTCACGCCACTCTCTGTCACTCACGCCACACTCTGTCACTCATGCCACTCTCCGTCACTCACGCCACACTCTGTCACTCACGCCACACTCTGTCACTCACGCCACTCTCTGTCACTCACGCCACTCTCTGTCTCTCACGCCACTCTCTGTCACTTACGCCACTCTCTGTCACTCACGCCACTCTCTGTCACTCACGCCACTCTCTGTCTCTCACACCACTCTCTGTCACTCACGCCACTCTCTGTCACTCACGCCACTCTCTGTCACTCACGCCACACTCTGTCACTCACGCCACTCTCTGTCACTCACGCCACTCTCTGTCACTCACGCCACTCTCTGTCACTCATGCCACTCTCTGTCACTCACGCCACTCTCTGTCACTCACGCCACTCTCTGTCACTCACGCCACTCTCTGTCACTCAAGCCACTCTCTGTCACTCACGCCACTCTCTGTCACTCAAGCCACTCTCTGTCACTCACGCCACTCTCTGTCAATCACGCCACTCTCTGTCACTCACGCCACTCTCTGTCACTCACGCCACTCTCTGTCACTCACGCCACTCTCTGTCACTCACGCCACTCTCTGTCACTCACGCCACTCTCTGTCACTCACGCCACTCTCTGTCACTCACGCCACTCTCTGTCACTCACGCCACTCTCTGTCACTCACGCCACTCTCTGCCACTCATGGGGCAGCGACAAGGATGTAGACGCCGGTCTGTTTGGGGATGTGGTAGCGCCGGTCATCCCTGCCATCGTCATTCCACCCCTTGGCACACGGTGCTCCCACCGCTCACGCCCACCTGCACCGCACTGCGCCACACTGCACTGCACGCCACTCACGGGGCAGCGACGCGGATGAAGACGTCGGAGTCTTTGGGGATGTGGTAGCTCCAGTCGCCCCGCCCGTGGTCGTTCAACCCCGCCCCCACGAAGAACAGCACGAGCCCCTTGCTGGCACGCGACATGTTGTCCGGCGCCTGGGCGGGCGGGAGGATGGATGGAGAAACACAAGATAAGCATTGAAGCTGCACATGGCATGCGTTGACCCGCACATGGCATGCGTTGACCCGCACATGGCATGCGTTGACCCGCATATGGCATGCGTTGACCCGCACATGGCATGCGTTGACCCGCACATGGCATGCGTTGACCCGCACATGGCACGCGTTGACCTGCACATGGCATGCGTTGACCCGCACATGGCATGCATTGACCCGCACAAGACATGCATTGAGGATGCATAAGACATGCATTGAGGATGCATAAGACATGCATTGAGGATGCATAAGACATGCATTGAGGATCCACAGGACATGCTTTGAAGATGCACAAGACATGCTTTGAAGATGCACAAGACATGCTTTGAAGATGCACAAGACATGCTTTGAAGATGCACAAGACATGCTTTGAAGATGCACAAGACATGCTTTAGATAAAAAATCCCCAGACCATAAAGAACAGCACCAGCCCCTTGCTGGCGCTCGGAGGCAACCGTTGGAGGTTAGGCTTCATGCCTTGCCTTGCCACCACATGGCATAAACACCCATTTGGCACCTCATGGGACAGTACCTCATGGCACCGCACCAAACAGCCACACCAACACCACACCAACTACACCCAGGCTGCAGTAAGCAAGCGCACGAGACCACTGCTCCGCATGTTGGTGGATTGGGAACAACAGCGCTGTTTCCCAGAACTATGTGAAGCTCTTCATGCCCCACCAGCCTGAAGCTATATAGTGCAGCTTGAAACGAAAAGCCCAGTGCTCACAATGAGCGTTAGGTGGTGCCACCAATGGAATCGGTTGGTAACGGATTGGTTGAGCCAGCGGTGGGCGTTCACCAGCAGCACATACCCCGTCCACCACCCCCCAGGCTCCTTGGCTCGCATGCGATTGCCCGTGTCCTTCCACCTGAGAGCAGGTGCAGCCAGGCACAGGAAAAGAATGAGAATTCCTACAAGAGGTTTTAGCTCCTTGGCTTGCATGCGGTTGCCCGTGTCCTTCCACCTGTCAGCAGCAGGGCAGAGAGAGAGTAACAGACACCATAAGGTAGGTAGGATGGGTTGGTGAGTGCGAGTGACAGCTTTTGAGCCACCTGTGCCTGGAGGGAGGTGGGAGAGAGAGGGCACAAGCATACTAAACCTCCCCTCAGCACAAGTGGATGGAGGTGGGAGAGAGAGAGAGCACAAGCATACCTAACCACACGCAGATTGTAAGAGCTAAAACGCGGAGATATGTGAGCACGCAAACTCAAGGCAGGTATGGGATCAGTCAGTGGTCACACGCCACCCTACAGGCTCCTGACCGCAGGTGGTTACCCAGTTACCCACGTGTCCTCCTTCCCACTTGGGTGGCTGGAAAGCTCCTGAATCGCAACAGACGGGGCAGACGCAGACGAGCAGCACCTAACCTTCGCCAACTCCGTCTCACCAAGAGGCGATCCAAACGTGCAGACCGCCAACTTGTGCTTATAACGAGCGTGCACGATGAAGCCAAGGATCCAAGGGACTTGAGGGTGCAAGGGTTCAGTGAGGAGGGACCCTCTGTTCGGCCGTCAGTGAGGAGGGACCCTCTGTTCGGCCGTCAGTGAGGAGGGACCCTCTGTTCGGCCGTCAGTGAGGAGGGACCCTCTGTTCGGCCGTCAGTGAGGAGGGACCCTCTGTTCGGCCGTCAGTGAGGTGAACATGACTGGTCGGCCAAACCGAGCTTGCTGCGATCTACCCGCTTCTCAGTTTGACAATGTGCAAGGGTTCAGTGAGGAGGGACCCTCTGGTGAGACCCTTTGGTGAGACCCAGAGGGTAAACAATGGGTCGTCTGTTGACCTCACGGCGGATGGCATACTTCAACTCAAGGTGGAATTTGGAAGATTATGGCTGCATGGTTCGGTGGCCGTCATTCGCTTCTGCCAAGGCGAAGGGCAGTATAGTTGGAAAAAACTCACCCGAATTCCGCATCCGCGGTATAAACATATCTGTCCAGCAGTGTGCCATGACAATTCCTCGCCGTTTCGCAGCCGCTTTGCGGGAAAAACGTCGACCCCGACGACTGTGCGGTAGGTCGCAGCTCGAAGATCGCCAAGTATGCGACGGTCAGCGCGACGGCGACAGGCAGAATGCGACGAGTGAGAGCCGCCTGAAGTCGCCTGACGACGACACCAGGGTTTGACGCGTGCGTACGCGACATAATGAGCTTCGCTAACGGATCGTGATCGCTTCTGTAGAACAGCTTCAGTCAGCTGGCTCACAATAAGAACCTCAGTACGCCGTTCTTGCTAGAAGCCATGATGCATTGTGCATTGTCGATGTTCGGCTAACTGCATTGCTCGGATGCGACAACGAAAACAACGACATGACGTTTTGTTCAGTGGATCGGGAGCAACGGTTTCTGGTTGTGGATTCAAAATGGGTGCTGAAACATACCCTTTCAAAAGCTGCTTCGATTGCGCTATAACGAGGAAGCAGGAGGTGCGCGATAGCTCCCCCTGTCTAGAACACCAGCTCCAGCTATGAATAAGAAAGTTGATGTTGTGCGAACAATGCATTGGCAAATTATACATGACCCGAATGGTTTTACCCGCTAAGAATCTAAGAACCCATGAGACACGATTCCTGTCGGAAATATTGAATAATATCAAAATGGAAACTCTGGCAAACATCTCACCAACAGTACACTACGAGCACGATGCAAATATTCATGTATACATACGTATACATAGCACAGTAATTTTCAACATGCTGAGCTTGTGTTACCTGCAAGGCTACTGGTGTGGCACATCCCCACCATATCCAACGTTGTTGGCAAGAATAGTTGCCTGGCTGACAAGGTGAGAACGGCAGCTTGTTTGAGGCTAAAAGGGCTTCAGTAGTGAGTACAAAAGGTGCTGCAGTCGGTGGGTGATGTGATGCTACCTAGACTCGAACTGCTGCTGTGCTGACTCGGCAATGGCTTCACTACTTTCCTGCGTTCCCGCATCTCGTTTAATATGTCTTGTTGTCTTCAATCCTGAATCCCACTACCGCTCATTTCACGTCCCCTCCGCCCCTCTCCCCTCTTGTCTGCCTCTCCCCCAGGCAGATCCCTGTGCCGCCCTGAACTGTGCTCCTAACGGCGAATGTTATCGTTTTGATGACGGCACGGCTTCTTCGTGGAGTCGCAAAATCAGCTTCATTCCACAATGCTCAAAGCCCCACCTGCAAATGACACGAGATGTGTATAAACTTGTTTGTTGTAGGAGCAGTTTTTACTCCTAAATACCCTCCTTCACGCAACGAATGCCCACAAGAGCGTCAACATATCAGTGAACTTTATACGGAACCCGTGTAACCGTCACATAGTCACCTTGGGGAACGTCGGTAATGGTGGAGGTGAAGTGCCACACGCCATCCTCAGGGTGGTGCTTGGGCGGGGACACAGTGTGCTGAAAGTAAGGGATGGCCTACACACACAGGTTGAAATTGCCTGTGTACGTGCCCGGTACCGTTGGCATCATGCTGCCAGCAAAGGGGGGGAGGAGGAGATGGGGAACGTGATGTTGAGGGGGTTTGGGGGATGAAGGGAGATAGGGAAGCAGGTGCAGAGGAAAGAAAATTTGGGCTGCACGAACAGGGCATACGCCATTGCACTCATCATCCCCTTGCACCACTCACCATCCCCTTGCACCACTCATCATCCCCTTGCCATTTGCTTCCTGACGTTTCACCGCTTGCTGGCTGTGCGGGCAGTCCTGTGAGACGTGGGAGCATGGTAGCGGAAGGGGGAAAAGAGAAACGGGATGGTGTGGGAAGGGAGAAAGGGGAAGGGGAAGAGGGGGAAAGGGGGAAATACTACATGCCCCTGAATAATTCTTTCCTCAGACAGGGTTGAGCTTATGTGAATTGGACAAGAAGTGCTACCAACTTAGGCTGGCCGTGAGGGGAAGTGACAGGAAGGAACAGGGACCCAGAAGGCAGCGTAGAAATAGTGATGTTTTTTCCGTGCTAATATTTCTTACTTTTCATATACAAAATAAAAAGTTTCCAGTTTTTTTCTCCTCCTTTTTCTGTTGAACGCTAAATCTTTGGCGTCTACTTTCAGGTGTGTACACTGCTTTTCAGCATGCTTTCTCTTTCTTCTTCTTCTTCGTTTCCCGGTGCCCGCTGATTCGTCGAAGTAGAGCCGAGCAGTGTAGCGCAGGGCAGAGTGGGAGAACGCCCCAGGTGCAGAGCAAGTGCAGATGCGCCGCCAGCAAGTGCAGATGCGCCACCAGCAAGTGTAGATGCGCCGCCAGCAAGTGCAGATGCGCCGCCAGCAAGTGCAGATGCGCCACCAGCAAGTGTAGATGCGCCGCCAGCAAGTGCAGATGCGCCGCCAGCAAGTGTAGATGCGCCGCCAGCAAGTGTAGATGCGCCGCCAGCAAGTGCAGATGCGCCGCCAGCAAGTGTAGATGCGCCGCCAGCAAGTGCAGATGCGCCACCAGCAAGTGCAGATGCGCCGCCAGCACGTGCAGATGCGCCGCCAGCAAGTGTAGATGCGCCGCCAGCAAGTGCAGATGCGCCGCCAGCAAGTGTAGATGCGCCGCCAGGAACCAATGGTGGCTATCGCCCACAAAGCTCATGGATACCCCTCTCGTGTAACACGCCTATCCACTCCGATGGGGGAGGGCGAGCACCGGTAGAAGACCCACCTGGGGAGGAGGGGGGAGAGAGGATGGCATGGGGGGAGTGGGGAAGGTGGGAAGGGTGATTGAGGCGCCTCAAAAGACGATTTTCAGGGCGGCCCATAAGATAACACCATCCACACCCACGCGGCCATACACACTGCCCATCAACACCCATCTGCACCCATCTAGACAAGACCCAGCTTCACTGATCGACACCCATCCCCGCGCACATACCTGAGTGACCCAACTGCTTTCACCACCCCTGGCAGTGACGTCCCCACACACGGGGAATCCAGCCAATCCTCTGCCGCCTCCTGCTCCTCATCCTGCCTCTTGCCTGCTGCTTCTACATGAGTGGCGGCTGTGGTGGTGCTACCGCTGTTACCCTTGCTGCTGCCTGCCGCCGCTGCTGCTGCTCCTGCTGGTGTCAATGCTGCTGTTGATACCAGGACTGCTGGTGTCAATGCTGCTGCTGATACCAGGACTGCTGGTGTCAATGCTGCTGCTGATACCAGGACTGCTGGTGTCAATGCTGCTGCTGATACCAGGACTGCTGGCTCTCGCCAAAGCTTCACCACGTGGCGTGATTGTGATTGGCCAGGAGGCGAGGCTGTGCTGGTGCATGCGGTTGTGGTGCGCAAGGGCTGCGGAAAAATTGAGATTGGCGCACCCCACGTGCAGCGTCGCCCTGCAAGGAGGAACAGAGCAGCAGGGGGAAGGGTGTGGTGTGGGGGGATGCGGGTGGCATGGGGAAGGCGAGAGTCAGAGCGAGGGAGGGAGCAACTGGGTGCGCACTCCACATGCAGCGTCGCCCTGCAAGGAGGAGCAGAGAGGGGCATGGGGGGCCCGTAGGGTATGAGAGGGCAAGGTGAAGGAGGGAGCGGCTGGAACGAAGGTGGAGGGGGAGGTGAGGTTGCCGCACCCCACGTGTCCCGAAGGTGACCCTGGGTCGGGCTAGGGTTATGTTGAAGGGATGAGCAAAGAACCGAACAGGTTTTGATTTTTAGCTTAAATTGTTCACCCGAACGTGTTCGAGGTTTGCCCGAACACGTTCGTGTTCGTGGCGCTGCTGCAGAACGCCCCGTGTCGAACACGAACGTGTTCGAGGTTCACCCGAACACGCCTTCACAGGGGAACGGCGAACACCCTTGTTCGGTTCGCCGAGCGGCCATGTTCGTGCAAGGGCGAACGTGAACATGTTCGCGTTCGCCCTTTGCTCAACGGTCCATTGAAGTCGTCCCTTTTTGGCATTTTCTTGGCACTTAGCAGGGTAGAACATACAGATTAGTACTACTGTCTTTATTTTGCTAAAAGTGACTTCCCGACTGCAGCTCACCCAGTCCACATGGCTGTCGGGCTAGGGTTAGGTTGAAGTCGTCCTTTTTTGGAGATGAACAACCAATGAGACAAAACCAGAATTTTCGCGAACAGCAGCATCTCCTTATAAAATGAAACTCATCCAATCAACTCCTTCCCCCCCCCCCCACCCAAAATTGCATGCCAACTGAAACAGTGTATTTTTTATAAATTTCTCGACGCGCCCATGAAAATGGCAACTTTTGATAGAGAAACTTGTGATTCAAAACCTACCCCTTCTACCTACCCATCTGTTTTTGCGATGCAAGAGGAGCAAAGCAAAGGGGTTGGGAGGGATTCAAAGGTGGTGCCAAGGATTGGCAGGGATAAGGATGTGGTGCGAAGGAGGAGACAACAGAAGAGCAGATTGGTGAGGCGTACAATACAATCAACTACCTCACATTAAGGCGCCTCGAGATTAGACTCACCAGTAATTGCTGAAGTCCCACACACACGTGGTACGACACTCTAAACTACGTGCAGTGCAGAGGGTCTAGACACCTAATGTCCCCGTGAGCTAGCGCAGCGCCTCTTAAAGTCAGAGCTAAGTCGCGCTTCCACCAGCTCTCCTTGACCGCCTTCCCCAGCAACTGCTCCCAGACGCGGAAGGAGCAGCGCTGCCCGCGCTGACACGTGGCGCAACCTGAGCCGTGGATCACCACTTTCGCGGGGGACGGGAATGCATAGTCTGCGCAGGCAGATGCAGATGTGAAGGGAGGGAGGGTGAACACGGGGTTGCGTAAGGGGATTTAAACAGGAGGGTCGCATTGCATGAGAGAATGTTTTGGGGCGCGTTGACATTAGTCACGTCACATCACGTCAATGAGAAGGGAGGGGGCAGGGGGAAACGCGATGAGCGGAAACAGGATGGCGAGGTGCACGGGCGACTCGTCCAGTCCAGCATACTCGCTGTCGATCTTCGAGGCGTCTTGCAACTCGGATTTCACATGCAATTGGACGTCACCTATTCTTGAGGCGGCTCAGATATTTCAGGCCGCGCATTGTAAAACACAACCAACTCATATTTCGCATACTACTTTCTGGAATCTCACCTCCTGACGACGTCCAGCATACTCTTCGTCGTCTGGGCTGCGCTACGCTGCCATCGGAAACGCTGGAAGCAGCGCGAATGGCAGTAGCGCCATTACTAACGGCAGCGCCATTACTAACGGCGGCGCCATTACTAACGGCGGCGCCATCAGTAACAGCGGGAGATAAGTTATCTCCTGTTGCGTTTGTTTTGTAGGCGACAAGCAGCGGCTTTCGCAGCTGCAGGGGGAAAAGAGGGCCCCATTTTAAGCGCCACCTTCCGCTCGCTCCCCCTGCTGCCGCCAATCCCACCGCGCTCATGCTTCCCGCTCCCGCATCGGATCCGCCAGTCACCCATGGCGGTAACGATTCAGCTATAACGAGTACGAGGAGACATAGGATCATGACGGAAACGAGCACGTAGTGAGCCCCATCCATATAAGGCCCCAACTGAGGACTCCTCTCCTCGTCTATAAAACCTCACGTTTTGAATCCTAAAGTCGTCAACATGTGCGAAAACGCACGAGAGACGCGCGACAGGGGAGACGCTGACGACGTTGATGGCAGCACGGGAAGTGCATCATGCGACGACTCTACAAAATTCAAGAAGGAAAAAGAATGCTAAAGGATTTCATGGGGATGGCTTGAAGTTTTCCCCTGCCGTCAATGCTTGTGGTTTATCATGATGAATGCTGAACAGTTGACGTTTCTTGGAGGAATCATTGATTGGTTTGTTTCAGCACTCTTCAGCAGGTTCGGCAAGCAGTGCGCCAGCATGCTGCCAGCATTGCTTATCCTCACTAAAGCAACTGAACTAATCATTAAGCGCCTGTTAATAACGGATCACTATCACAATACACGAAACTTTTTATATTCAATACTAACAAGAAAAGGCAAAACACAAAATACAGTACAGCTTACAAAATGGATATGGGTGGTATCAAATCGTTACAAGAATTCATTCTCTGCTAAAAAAATGAAATGATCCGTATCTCATATACTTCAACTCAACCGTACACCAATAACAACCATAACCACAATACCAGGTTTGCCTTGTCACGGAAAAGCAGAAACGGACTTCCTACAATATACCCACGTACAACATACAACACATATGTATCATGCATTAATAAACAGCTTATTTCGGGCGTGACGAGGGGTCTGCACTCATCAGCAACACACGCAGCAGCGTTGGGTCAACACAGCAATGGTAACGTGCCATAAAACGAACGTGAACCTACCGATAAAGTAGGCCATTCATGTGGTTGGTTTATGAGTCGCTGGGAACTCCTCCAGGAACCGTGATAACCTTGGTGAAAATATGGCGATAAGTCTTCTGAAAAGTAAATACAATTAGGCGACGGTATTCTCGGAGGCTTGACGATGATGTCGGAAGTCGCTGGTATAGAGTGTAATCATGCGCGCTTGTACTCTGCAACAAAATAGGCAGTAACAAGGTTAAATTAGCCAATGCGTTCTTGGCTGGGACAGAAACTCACCTTATGTTGCATATAACTAGACCAGCGAGCGTATGGCGTGAGACGGTAGCGTCACCGCGAGATTCGTGCAGCCTGGGCGAAGTTCACGGCAGAAATCGTGCGCCAAAGCGGTAATTTTATATCCTGCTGGAGGGAGGACGTAAGAACAGAATAGATACACATTTCAGGAACGTCTGCGTAAGGAAGGAACAGATATGCAGCAGCCATGGAACCGTGCAAGCTAAGAGAGTGTAGAAAATGGAGCATGAAAATCTTCACAAGTGAAAATGAAAGCATGCTGAGGTGTTGGTGATGCTGGAGATGCAGTTTAAGTGCTCCAAGATGGGAGATGTGAAGTACTATTTAGGGATGCATGTGGAGAGGGACCTTGACAAGGGAGTGTTGAGGTTGCACCAGAGAAAGTATTGTGAGGGGCTGGCTGAGAAGTATGGGCTGCAAGATGGAGGAAAGCCAGCCACCCCACTGCCTTCGGGGTTCACTGTGGAGCCCTGTGCTGATGAGGAGGTGGTGGGTGAGAGTGACAGGAAACTTTTTCATTCCATGGTTGGGGCACTCAACTATGCGGCTAACCACACACGGCCTGACATTGCCTTTGCAACATCCAGGCTTGCCAGTGTGGTTTCACGCCCCAGTCATGAGCAGCTGGAAGCGGCCAAGAGGTTGGTCCGCTATGTGAGTGCAACGGCATCAGTGGGTTTGGAGTACAGTGCTGTGAGGCAGAGGCTGCAGAGGGGTGCAGCTGATTTGAGCAAGGGGGAGATGCTCCTGACCTGCTACACTGACGCTAGCTTCAACTCGGTGAAAGCGGATGGCACCAGCATTGGAGGCTATGTGTGCCTGTTCGGAGGTGGTGCAGTGAGCTGGCGCAGTAAGAAGCAGAATGAAGTGGGGCAGTCCTCGTGTGAGACAGAGTACATGGCCCTGCATCATGGGGCAAAGGAGGTGATGTGGCTGAGGCGTTTGTTGGAGGAGATTGGAGTTGGTCAGAGGGAGCCGACTGTGATTTTCTGTGACAATGAGTCGGCGGTGAAGCTAGCGAAGAATGCTTGTCTTCATGGGCTGACCAAACACATCAGGCCTAAGTGGCACTGGGTGAGAAGGCTCCTGGACAAGGAGGTGCGGCTGGAGATTGTGAAGACCCATCAGCAGGCGGCTGACATTCTAACCAAGCGCCTGGCTGAATCTGAGCATTGGAAGGGCATGAAGCTTGCTGGGATGAGTGTGCATTGAGGATGCATGCTTGAGCTATGGCATGTGGGATGATGGTTGGCAGCCAGAGGAGGAGTTTGTTGAGTGATGCTACCATTCGCATTCACGTCTGTCTGCCTCCCATCATATGTTCGTGCGTTGCATGCGTGTTGTGAGTGTGCACAAGAATTTGTGTTTTGTGCGGTTTGTTTTTTCTGAGTGTGTATGTGAATGTTATTTGGCTTGAGCAGATATCTGAAGTGACTCCTCTGCTCAAGAGCTTTCCGAGGAACCAAGTATCGCTTCAATCGGAGCACGAACAAGAAAGTTACGAACGTTGGAGTTCGTATGCTTTTGATATTTGGTTGTGGTGACTATGGGAAGTTGTGGGGTTGACTCAATATGGGGTACAGACTTTTGGGGGTTGGGAAATTCGTCTTTTCTACTGTAGTTGCTGCCAAATGGTTGGGAGAAACCAAACCAGGTTGGCAAGTGTGGCCAAGTTGGGTTGAGGTGGATTGTGGAGGTTGGGATAGTGACAAAGGTCAAAGTTGGGTTGCCTATGGGGAAGGGAATTGTATGGCATGGGGTTTCCTTGGTTGGGGACTCTCTTGGGACCTTCCCTCTCGTCCTCCTAATCCCTTCCACCTGGTTTAGTGCTACTCCAATTCTCTTGTGTGAACTTGTGTGAACTTTGTGATTGAGTTAAGATTCTATGGCAGCATACCCCCTAGTGCGCTGAAATCGATAACTCAAGACACACTTCA